TTCTCTACCTCTTTCCTTCCTTCCCTCGCTTTTTGCTTCCATCCATACTTGTGTCTTTCCTTCTTTCCTTCCTTCCCTCTTTCTCTCCTTTCTTCCTTCTCTACCTCTTTCCTTTTTTCTTACTTTCTCTTCCTTCTCTATCTCTTTTTTCCTTCCCCCTTTTTCTTTTCCTTCCCTTTCTCTCCTTTCTTCCTTCTCTGCCTCTTCGCTTTTTGCTTCCATCCATACTTGTCTTCTTTCCTTCCCTCCTTCTTTCCTCTCTTCCTTTTCTACCTCTTTCCTTCTTTCCTTTTTTCTTACCTTCTCTTCCTTCTCTAGCTCTTTCTTTCCTTTCCCCTTTTCTTTTCATCCCTCTTTTTCTCCCTTCTTCCTTCTCTACCTCTTTCTTTCCTTCCTTTGCTCTTTGCTTCCTTCTCTCTTTCCTTCTTTCTTTTCCTCCCCCTCTCTCTCCTTCCTTCCTTCCTTCCTTCCTTCCTTCCTTCCTTCCTTCCTTCCTCTCCTTTCCCCCCTCTTCCTTTCTCTCCTTTCCTCCTTCTTCCTTCCTTTTTTTTCTGTATCGTCATTTAGCTTTTTGAGTGATGGTCACTCCTTGGTCTGTTAGGGGTATAGTGTCCCAATTTGATGTCAATTCGTCCAGTGGTTTTTGAGTTCTGTTCATCCCACAAACGAACATTAAATTCTTATTTATATAGATTCTGTTAAACCTCCCCAGCGTGACCGTAACAGAATCCCCCAGCACTGAGCCTTGGCGGCGACAGTGGTGTCAAACTGCATTAATTCCACAGTGTAGATGCACGCTTAAAGCCTCACAACGGTGTTTTGCACCAGACTTTGCAAAGTGACACTTGCCTGCGGCCTGAGCGTACTTCCATAACTGGACGACAGTGCTGTTCTCGTAGACGTCTGCGTTGACCAAGACTGCAGAGAAGGAAAACAAATCCCTTTGTGTGTGTGTTGGATAGTATCATAAAGGATGACCACCTCACCCGCTTCATAGAAAATCTGCTACAAAACAGGAGCTTTTTTGTTGAGTCCAGGGCCAGAAAACCAGATGTCGGAAACAGAAGAATGGCCTGCCTCAGGGGAGCTTGCTCTCTCCATCAATGTTTAACATTTACACAAATGTCCAGCCACTGCCAGAAGGGACAGAGAGTTTCATCTATGCTGGTGATCATGCCATCACTGCTGAAGCAGGGAGTTTTGAGATGGTTGAACAGAAGCTCTCCAAACCTTTAGGTGCTCTACTGCGTTCCCCTATAGAGGACTCACCAGATGCGTTGCTTCCGAACGGCCCGACCACGTTTTGATAGGAGTGGTTATCATCGTCTGAGAGGGAGAGGAGAGCCTGAGATTTCAACATAACAGACCACAAAGGCAGGAGTCTTTGCTGTTTGGGTATCTGTGTTTCATTGCATAACACTTCCTGCCTTGCAATAATAGCACCTCCATTACTTTGGGTGACAAAATTGGTATTTTTGTGTTCCTCACATAATAGTCGCAGAGCTATTTGAAGTTGATTTCCCCCCCCCCCCCTTCCTTCCTTCTCTGAAGGCAAGGCATTGTAGAAAAACAATAATGATATGGAGGTCTCTGGAGCTCTGCTCTTTCTTTTCTCTCTCTCTCCCTTCTATCCTTTATTCTTTCTCCTTCCTTTCTTCTCTCTCTCCTTCCTCCTTTCTTTCTCTTCTTCCTTCTTTCTCTCTCCTTCCTTCTTTCTCCTTCCTTCTTTGTCTCTTTCTTCTTTCTCTCCTTCCTTCTCTCCTTCCTTCTTTATCTCTCTCCTCCCTTCTTTCTCCTTCCTTCCTTTCTTCCTTGTCTCCTTCCTTTCTTCTTTTTCTCCTTCCTTCTTTCTTCTCTCTCCTTCCTTCTTTCTCCTCCTTCTCTTTCCTCCTTCCTTCTCCTTCTTCTTCCTTCTCTCCTTATTTCTTCCTTCCTTCTCTCCTTCCTTCTTCTCTCTCCTTCCTCCTTTCTTTCTTCTTTTCCTTCCTTCTCCTTCCTTCTCCTTCCTTTTCTCCTTCCTTTCTTCCTTGTCTCCTTCCTTTCTTCTTTCTCTCCTCCCTTCTCTCCTCCCTTCCTTATCTCTCTCCTCCCTTCTTTCTCCTTCCTTCCTTTCTTCCTTGTCTCCTTCCTTTCTTCTTTCTCTCCTTCTCTCCTTCCTTCCTTCTCTCCTTCCTTCTCCCTTCGTTCCTTCCTTCTCTCCATTATTTCTTCCTTTCTTCTCTCCTTCCTTCCTTCTCTCTCCTTCCTCCTTTCTTTCTCTCTTTCCTTCCTTCTCCTTCCTTCTCTCCTTCCTTATTTCTCCCTTCCTTCTCTTCTTCCTCTCCTTTCTTTCTCCTTCCTTCCTTCTTTGTCTCCTTCCTTTCTTCCTTCTCTCCTCCCTTCTTTCCTTCTTTATCTCTCTCCTCCCTTCTTTCTCCTTCCTTCCTTCCTTTCTTCCTTGTCTCCTTCCTTTCTTCTTTCTCTCCTTTCTTCTCTCCTTCCTCTCCTTTCTCTCTCTCCTTCCTTCTCTCCTTCTCTCCTATTTCTCCCTTCCTTCCTTCTCTCCTTTCTTCTCTTCTCTCCCTCCTTTCTTTCTCTCCTTCCTTCCTTTTCTCCTTCCTTCTTTCTCCCTTCTTCTTCTCTTCTCCTTCCTTCCTCTTCTTCCTTTCTTCCTTCCTTCCCCCCTTCCTTGCCATTGCCGTTCCATGAGACTGAGAGAATGTGGCCTGCCTTATTATGGCTAAACGCCCAGTCGTATTCATATTTGCATTGTGGGATAAGACCAAGGGTATGTCCACACTGCAGTTTGATGCTACTTGAAATGCCATGGCTCAAGGCTATGGAATCGTGGGAGTTGTAGTTTGGGAAGACACCAGCCCACTTGGGCAGAGAGAGGCCGAAGACCTTGCAAAAGCTTTGCTCCCAGGATTCCATTGTGGTTAAAGTGGCATCAAACTGCATTAATTCTACAGTGTAGATGCACTGGGAATCTCTCTTCCTGCCAATCAAAGCCTGATCTCTCTCCAATCGATCCTCAGTTCTGGATTGGATAACTCTCCTTGCTGCTAAATATTCAAAACAGAGCATATTTCTGGTCATCTTACCACTTGAAGCACTTAAGAATTTTCTGCAGTTGTAATAATGAGCGGCAGGAAGTGGCTCGCTAGAAGAAGGAAATGGGAAAGACAAGGAAAGTGTCATGGCGAGGGGGTCAGTCCGGGACAACAACTCCCAGAATCCCCTACCGAGAAAGGGAAGGACCAAACACTACAGCTCCCCAGGACTTACATGTAAGCAGGGTCTTGCTCCATTTGCATCCCTGAAAGAGAAACGAAGTTATTGGATTATAGATCATGAATTTGATTTGCTTAGAAAGGATCAGCTCCAGGTCTCTAGGGACAGATATGCAATGGTCACATGCAGCCACAAGAGGGCAGTGTATCGATAGAAAGGATTAGCTCCAGGCCTCTATGTATGCAGTGCCCAGATGCAGCCACAAGAAGGCAGTTTATAAATAGAAAGGATTAGCTCCAGGCCTCTATGTATGCAGTGGTCAGATGCAGCCACAAGAGGACAGTGTATCAATAGAAAAGATTAGCTCCAGGTCTCTATGTATGCAGTGGTCAGATGCAGCCACAAGAGGACAGTGTATCAATAGACAGGATTAGCTCCAGGCCTCTGTATGCAGTGCCCAGATGCAGCCACAAGAAGGCAGTTTATAAATAGAAAGGATTAGCTCCAGCCCTCTATGTATGCAGTGGTCAGATGCAGTCACAAGAGGACAGTGTATAGATAGAAAGGATTAGCTACAGGCCTCTATGTATGCAGTGCCCAGATGCAGCCACAAGAAGGCAGTTTATAAATAGAAAGGATTAGCTCCAGGCCTCTATGTATGCAGTGGTCAGATGCAGCCACAAGATGGCAGTGTTTAGATAGAAAGGATTAGTTCCAGGCCTCTGTGTATGCAGTGCTCAGATGCAGCTACAAGAGGGCAGTGTATAGATAGAAAGGATTAGTTCCAGGACTCAATGTACGCAGTGCTCAGATGCAGCCGCAAGAAGGCAGTGTATAAATAGAAAGGATTAGCTCCAGGCCTCTAGGTATGCAATGCTCAGATGCAGCCACAAGAGGGCAGTGTATAGATAGAAAGGATTAGCTCCAGGCCTCTATGTATGCAGTGCTCAGATGCAGCCACAAGAAGGCAGTGGATAAATAGAAAGGATTAGCTACTGGATTCTAGGGATGTGTGCTGTGTTCGTGTGCAGCCACAAGAGGGCAATATATATATATAGAGAGAGAGAGAAAAAAGTATACTTACTGGAGCAGCAGTGCTCCACCTCGAATCCCGACTGGTCTTTGGGTCTCAGAGAGCAAGATTGCCTCTGAGAATGTGAAGAGAGCCTCTCCCTCACATCTGGGGTTGTGTAGTCTGCTGCAGCGCATCTGGGAGGAAATGGGGAAGGCTTCTTTAAGCGACAGGAGTGGGTTCGCCTACACACTGTCGAGTGGAGTTTTATGCCCCTCGAACCACCATGGCTCAAGGCTATGGGCTCTTGGGAGTTGTAGTTTGGCAAAGGAAACTAAAGGCTTTGTAAAACTCCCATCATACCCCAAATATTCAGGTCAACTACTTACGGATTCCTCTGAACATCCAAGCTTGCCTTCCGCTTGTTCTCTGATGGCAGAGATGAGAAAACCAAACTCAAGATCGTATATAGAAGATGCGGCAAAACAATAACAAAGCATGGAGTACTTCAGGTGTGGAAATACTAGTCGAGAAGATGATGGGAGACCGTGTTGAAGGTGCAAAGCCTTACCTGCCCGTTGGCACTTCATGCACATGCTCAGAAGGGCCCCCAAAAGCATCAAGGAGAAGGCGCCCCAAATCAGCTCCACTTGGCTCATCGCTGGGTCTTGCTTCTGTTAGGGAAAACTAGCCTAAAATATAGCAGAGCACCCAAAAACATAAATAGGATATTCAGTGAGATATTCATTGAAAAACTATCAGAAAATGCACTGCAGGATGTTACTCCAGCAAAAACAAAGTTTTTGGAGGTTAATTCTCTTTTCCCATGATTTTATGATAGAAGCAATTAGGAAATTACACTGCTAACCCAGGAACAAACATCATAATGTTACATAATGTAACGGGTGCGACCATTGTGTGATGAAATGCAGGACTTACATTTCAAAATCGTCTCAAGAAAAGCCTCCACAGGACTCTTAGTTTATTACAGATAGGAGCAAACAATTGACACATGGTATCTGTTGTCAGAACAAAACCATAGTGTTACATGCGACCATTATGTGATGAAATGCAGGACTTAAATTTCAAAATAGTCTCTAGAAAAGCCCACATAGGACTTTTATTTTATTACAGATAGGAGAAAACAACTGACACCTGGTATCTGTTGTTAGAACAAAAACCATAGTGTTACATAGTGTAATAAGTGCAACCATTATGTGATGAAATGCGGGACTTATAATAGTCTCAAGAAAATAGTCTCAAGAAAAGCCCGCATAGGACTTTTGATTACAGATAGGAGAAAACAACTGATACATGGCATCTCTTGTCAGAACAAAAACCATAGTGTTACATAGTGTAATAAGTGTGACCATTATGTGATGAAATGTGGGACTTACATTTCAAAATAGTCTCAAGAAAAGCCCGCATAGGACTTTTATTTGATTACAGATAGGAGAAAACAACTGATACATGGTATTTCTTGTCAGAACAGAAATCATAGTGTTACATAGTGTAATAAGTGCGACCATTATATGATGAAATGCAGGACTTACATTTCAAAATAGTCTCTAGAAAAGCTCACATAGGACTTTTATTTGATTACAGATAGGAGAAAACAACTGACACGTGGTATCTCTTGTCAGAACAGAAATCATAGTGTTACATAGTGTAATAAGTGCGACCATTATGTGATGAAATGTGGGACTTACATTTCAAAATAGTCTCAAGAAAAACCCGCATATTACTTTTATTTGATTACAGATAGGAGAAAACAACTGACACATGGTATCTGTTGTCAGAACAAAAACCATAGTGTTACATAGTGTAATAAGTGCAACCATTATGTGATGAAATGCGGGACATTTCAAAATAGTCTCAAGAAAAGCCCCCATAGGACTTTAATTTGCTTACAGATAGGAGAAAACAACTGATACATGGTATCTCTTGTCAGAACAGAAATCATAGTGTTACATAGTGTAATAAGTGCGACCATTATGTGATGAAATGCGGGACATTTCAAAATAGTCTCAAGAAAAGCCCACATAGGACTTTTATTTGATTACAGATAGGAGAAAACAACTGACACATAGTATCTGTTGTCAGAACAAAACTAATAGTGTTACATAGTGTAATAAGTGAGACCATTATGTGATGAAATGCAAAATTGTCTCAAGAAAAGCCCCCATAGCACACTAATGTTTTATAAATAGGAGAAAACAACTGACATATGGTATCTGTTGTCAGAACGGTGCACCAGTATTGTCAAAGGTCCTACATGCAAACTCTCATGAAGGAAAGGAACTGTATGTGGGTTCCAAAAACCATTCCTCTAATGTCTATGTATTGTCAAAACGCTTCTTAAAATCTTGTGGACAAGTTTTCTCTCACTTCCTGTGGCCTCAGCCCTGTTCTTAGCTCAGAGTCATTTGCACAAAAGACAGGCTCTTTCTGCCTTTAATTCTGTCTTCCTTTTCAGCTAACCTCTAGCTTCGTAAACTGTGCACTGTAATTGCAATGGGATCCTGGGAGTTGTAGTTTGCCCTCACTGGCAGGGAAGGCCAAAGACTTTGTGAAATGACAACTCCAAGAATTTAACAGAGTGGGAGCCAACTGTTCAAAGTGGTGCAAAACTGCATTAAACCTGCGGTGGAGATGCGACCATTATGTGATGAAATGCAGAGCGTTGATCTCAAATGCAGCTCTTTGACCCCATCTTTTCCCTGTCTTTTTCTGTGGTAATTCGAAAGAAACGGGAGTCACGAGACAATGGTGCATCAAGCGAGGGATGGAAAGCATGGCTCAGAGACCAGTTCTCCTCCACTCTGGATAATAGTCACCCTGGCATCTTATGACCAGAGGAACTCTCAGGCAAGGAAGGCTGAGGAGGGAGAGAAATCTGCCCCTTGGACAGAAGGGAAATCCACTCCTGGAAGAGTGTTCACGGGGGAAAGGGGTCTCCACTGAATCCTTGTTTCCACAAGAAGCCACATTCCCAAAATATATTTCTCACATGGTCAGGAAATGAACAGGGACACAGGCTGCAAAACAAACACTGCAGGGGCGTTAGCCGTTCCCTGTGCTATCCAAAACTAAGATAGGTAGGTAGGTAGGTAGGTAGGTAGGTAGGTAGATAGATAGATAGATAATAGGTAGATAGAGGGGGCGATGGTCCTTGGGGTCTCTTCCAACTTCAGGATTCTATGATAGATAGATAGATAGATAGATAGATAGATAGATAGATAGATAGATAGATAGATAGATAAGAGGGGTTGGACTAGATGGCTCTTAGGGTCCCCTTCTAACATCAGGATTATATGATAGATTGATAAAGAGCTGGACTAGATTGTCCTTGAGGTCCTTTCTAACATCAGGATGATTGACAGATTAGATAGATAGATAGATAGATAGATAGATAAAAGGGGTTGGACTAGATGGCCCTTGGGGTCCCTTCTAACTTCAGGATTATATCATAGAAAGATAGATAGATAGATAGATAGATAGATAGATAGATAGATAGAGATAGAAGGATGGGAAACCTAAGAATGGCCCCTTGGGCGGTCCCCCTTTCTCGAACATCAGGAAAAAATTACAATGATTGGGTTGGTTGGATTGATTGATTGGAATTTTGATAAAGAGGGGTTGGGGCGGACACTAGAATTTGACACTTGGGGGTCCTTTTAATATAACATCAGGGGGAATGTATATTATTAGATGGGGTTTTTAGGGGGAATAAAAGAAAAGGAAAGGGAAGGAAAAGGAAGACAAGACAGAATTTAGATAGATTAAGGGGAAAAAAGGAGGCTAGAATAGATGCCCCTTTGGGTTCCCTTCTACACTATCAGGATTTAACATTGATTTGGAAATTTTGATTTGATTGGGGATTTTGATTGGAATTGGGATTGATTGGAATACGAGGGGGCTTTTTGGGCCTAGATTGCCCCCTTGGGGTTTCCTTTTCACTAACATCAGGAAATTATATTGAAGAAGAAAGAAAAGGAAAGAAAAAGAAAGAAAAAGAAAGAAAGATAGATAGATAGATAGATAGATAAAAGGGGTTGGACTAGATGGCCCTTGGGGTCCCTTCTCATGTCAGGATTACATGATTGATTGATAAGAGGGGTGGACTAGATTGCCCTTGGGGTCCTTCCTAACATTAGGATTATATGATAGATAGAAAGAAACAAAGAAGGAAAGAGATAGATAAGGTGTTGGACTAGATGGCCCTTGGGGTCCCTTCTCATGTCAGGATTGCATGGATTGATTGATTGATTGATTAAGAGGGGCTGGACTAGATTGCCCTTGGGGTCCTTTCTAACATCAGGATTATATGATAGAAATGGACTAGATGGCCTTTGGGGTCCCTTCTCGTGTCAGGATTACATGATTAATTGATTGTTTGAGAGGGGCTAGACTAGATTGCTCTTGGGGTCCTTTCTAACATCAGGATTATATGATTGATTGATTGATTGATAGAAAGAAAGACAGACAGACAGACAGACAGACAGACAAGGTTGGACTAGATTGCCCTTGGGGTCCCTTCTCATGTCAGGATTACATGATTGATTGATTGATTGATTGATTGATAAGAGGGGCTAGACTAGATTGCCCTTGAGGTCCTTTCTAACGTCGGGATTAAGAAAGAAAGAACGAGAGAGAGAGAGAGAAAGGAAGAAAGAAAGAAAGAAATGAGGGGTTGGACTAGATGGCCTTTGGGGTCCGTTCTAATGTCAGGATTATTTGATTGATTGATTGATTGATAAGAGGGGCTGGATTAGATTGCCCTTGGAGTCCTTTCTAACATCAGGATTATCTGACTGATAGAAAGAGAGAGAGAGAGAAAGAGAAAAGGGGTTGGACTAGATGGCCCTTGGTGTCCCTTCTCATGTCAGGATTACATGATTGATTGATAAAAGGGGCTGGACTAGATTGCCCTTGGGGTCCCTTTTAACTTCAAGATTATCTGATTGATAGATAGAAAGACAGAAAGAAAAGGGGTTGGACTAGATA